AAAAGATTTACAACAGCTGACCTTTTAGAAAATGATTACTTGGGACAAATGAAAGAAGCAAAAAGTATCATTGCATATGTAGCTTCACCAGTAATGAGCAGAACCAAAATGTTTTCTATTAAAATGATATCCAAATGTAACAATAAAGGCATTAAAGTATATGACAGATTGGAAATAAATCCTTCATAATTTATGAAAAACCCTATTTCTTCATCAATGTGTACACCTTTCACTGTAATAATTCTGAATGACTTGATGAATTGGAAAAGGACACAAAGGAATGATAATAATTGAATTTATATTCATGATTTTAATTTTGTGTAATTTCTACAAGCAATCTTGCCACAGGACTGCTAATGTTTTACAAAATAATCTAATTTTTCTGCAGCTAAAAATCAAGTTAGAATACCACAAATTTGTTAAACAAGCTTCCTCTTTGTATTCTTTCCTACTTATCCAGAGAAATAGAACTGCCATAATACATTAGAGATAATTGGCTTGATGTCAACATTGATGATTCTATATAATACAAAAACATGTTAGGCTTATATTAATGTCATATATGAATTTACATTCATTGTTAATTAGCTGAAATATTTTTAGACTTTCTCACATCCTTTGAATTGCTCTTTTTCATAAGTGAAAAAGTTGTGCAGTCTGCTGTACAAAATTGTTTTCTTTTATTCATTTAAATTTGCCTTATACTTTTTTCCATATTTCAGAGACAACTACCTTTTAATGATGAATTCTTAGGTTCAGTGATGAATACCACAAAAGAAAGAGAGAAACTCTATTTACTTTTTCTATAAGACAATAATGCAGAATAGCAGTGGGAAAAAATAATACATACAGAGAATAACTGCTTAAAATGAAACACTACTATCCTTTCCAAAGGCATATATATTAGATCCCTGTCTTTTTCTTCCTCAGCAAAATGGTATTCAATTTTCCACTGTTTAATACCTAAGAAATATTCTATATATGTGTTTCATTAAAGGATAATATGTGAAAATTTTACAGGCAATAAATATATGTAATTTATTTGAAATAACCAAAATAGCTTTCAAATAAGAAAGAGAAAGAGAACACAGAGACAAACAGCAAAGGGAAAAAAATTAAAGCCCAAAACATCTCAAAACAGCACCTGAGGTTTGACATGTTGAAAGAAGCATGGCCTAAGGCCAGGCCTAGGTAAAGATTTTAATATTTAATAACATTTATCTGAAAATATTGAAGTATCTTCCAATTGACTATATATTGCTAGTACACATAACATCTTGGTAGTTTCTTTTTACTTTTCCGCAATCAGACTCTGTTGTCCAGACTGCACAATCCTTGCACTTCTACTTGAGACTTTTGGAAATGTGAAGGCCAATTTTTCTAACCTCTTATAAATCTAACAGTTATAAAATTGGCAAGTATTATGAAAAGAAAAATTTCTATAAAAAATTTAAAACTTTAATCTTCTACTCAAAGCCTAGAGGTTATGACAATAAAACAACATGACACTAGGGGGCAACAACTAAATGCTTCTTAATACCATTATTGTTTCAAATGCTGGAACCACTTCAATGTCCAAGTGCTCTCTTTTCTACTTATGTGGTGAGACCAGAGAAACTTTAGGGACGAAGTGACCAGCTACATGCACTGTTCCTCAATATGACTTCCTTTCCCTTCCTGGATGCAAGTAAGGCTGTGACCACATCACTGATGCCTATCTTGACTGTGGAAGGTGTTCTGACAGGAAATCTGAATTTATTCATTGAATGAGCTGTGGTGTCCTCTGTTGGTGCTGATATAAAATTATAGAGACACTATCGTATCATCTTTCATTTTTCAAATATACTGAGAGCCCATAATATCTCTTTTAACTTTAAATCCATAAAGGACTCTTTAGATAGGCCTTCTATTCTCTCACGGTGATATGCTTTTACCTTGGAATCACTTTTATACAACCAAAAGTGCTGTTTTAATCATGACTTAAAGTCATTCTCCCCTCCTTTTGACAAAAGACTGCATACGTGATTATGCAGATACTGAGAGTGAGTTAAACCAGGGATTCCAATGTCTTTTTGAATCCCAATCTAATAATTCTGTCAAAGCAACTGAGGACTCTGATTTGGTAGGTATTTAGAGACTGGTCTTTAAATACTCCCAGTGTAACAACCCTTGTCCTTTCTCCATCCAGTAAGGGCTCAATGTCACAAGCAACTCAGAATCTAATAAAACTTGAAAATATATTTCCAGAAAGCCTTTTGAAAAAGACATTATCATTACATGAAGCCTAGATAGTAGGTCCTCTGTTTCCCTATAAGCATTCTCCCTTCAAAATATAATTACACATTAAATGTGCTCTACATACTAGCTCTGGAGCTTTCTGAGGGTCAAGAATCCTCATATCTCTCTGTGTGTCCAGTTTGTCTGCTTATAATATAAGCTTGGTTTTCCAGTAGTGTAGTTGTGATAAAAATGAAGTCTTGTTTAAGATCAAGGATGATATAATAAATCTCAATATTTCACTGAGGACAAAGGTCAGAGAAGGGAAGAATCTAACAGAGTCCAAGATGAGAAACAAGTTCATGGAACACTACCCATTAAATGTGTCTTTCAAATCTATACACACATGTGAAAAATTTTTATCCTATGTAGTCACAAATAGGAAAAAATGTTTCAATCCCACTGAGTATAAAAATCTAGAAAGAAGCAGGCACATGGGCAAATATGGACTTTCTATATATGTAACTCAGTGAATTATTTTGGAAAAATTTAAGTATAAATTTAAAAAGAGAAAACAATTATTTAGATGCTATACTTTAGTAAAGTGTGCATTTAGCAGCAGAGATTATTTAGTGACAGATATCAGTGACATGAGGCAATTTATTCATGCTAAATTTATTAGTTTGATTCAATAAATTATTTTTTATAGCTTTCTTTTAAGAATCACCAAAACCAATAATGAGTTTTTATCATTACTGGTGAAAATAAAACATGTAATTTATTACCATCAATTAAAAGAAGAAGGAAATGGGAAATTAAAGAGCAGAACTAGAAAATACTCTCTTATTGGGATGTTTCTTAGGTGGCTTAAAGAAACATATGAAAACTATTTTCATGAACTTTTTCCCTTAGACTTTTAACACAGGGATGATTTAATACTACATTACAATATCTGGAAAAAGTTAAATTTAGCGTAAAAGAAAAATGCCAAACATTTACTCCTTCAGTATTTATACTCCTTGTGATGACACTCAAATAACTGGCAGCATTTTGAAGAGTTGGCAGTTTCTACAAAACATGCCAAGTAAGGAACACAACTTTACTACATTATATCATGTCATATTCTTTAAAACATAAATATTGAACTATCCCCATATGTTTCTGTACAACCAGCTATGGCAACATCTTTACAGCATCCCCAAACTCCTTTGAAAAGTAGGGTATAATCAGCACAAAAGGAGATAAAAATATCACCATTCCTGCAACTGTAACTCTCTAGTTAGCAAAATAAACTCTGTATAAAATCACATATTAAAACAAATTTATTCAATATAAACAAATATTTTATTTCAAATCTACTTTAGTAAGGAAATTGGTTAACAATACAAAAAGAAATACATGTAGACCTCCCTTGGTGTTGACTGTTTCTGGTTTAAAAATTCAAACTCTTCATTGTACAACATTTAGAAAACACAAATTTGTTCTGAGTAAAAATAGTTAATTATAGGTAAACCATAAATCTACATGTGAGAAAGAATAATTATTTTACTTTATTTTATTTTTTTCCTTTTTGAAGATACATTTTGTATTTATTTTACAGTTTGTTTACATGGGACATAATAACTCTAACTCCATATGCTCCAATAGAACTAGAGATTATTTATTAAATTGTCAAAATCCTAATATTTTGTGATTATTTAATATTAAGTTTAGTGTAATCCCTTAAAATTGTTCAAATAAAAATTAGCAATGCTGCATTTTTGACTGATTACAAGGAATGTAGAAGAAATTAAAGGTTTGTACTAATTTTACCACTGAGTAAATGGAGTGTCTGTAATGAAACAAAATAACTCCATGATGAAGTGAACTGATGTAAGTATTATAGGTATTATGAAAGTTTTCAAAGTGTTTAGGTTGAATTGTAGAAAAATAGTCATTTTCTTATAATTCGCTTGACTTTTTATGGAAGAATGCATGCTCTAGAATAGCGATGAAGTACAAATTAAAAAAAAAAGACAATGGAAGGTCCATCACCAAATTAATAGAAAGAAATGAGCTACTGTCAATATTCACACCTGGAATCATTTGAAATAGAAACAGAACCCCAAGAGATAACCATTTTACTGACACCTGATAAAGAATTTTATCCATATCTGAAAGTTTAAAGATGCAAGAAGAGTGCTGAAAAATAAAATCTCAAATGATATTGATTTTTTATTTGGATAAGAAAAATTGTCTTTTTGAAGAACTTGATTAGTTAGGCACCAGTTGTTAATTACCATATTCAATACCAGTGAAAATTCATACTACTTCTGCTCTCAACCTGTTGTTATCTTTCAAGCACATTAAAGTTTCCTGTTAACTATTCACAATCGCAATCTCTAGTTAGCTCTGAATCTTAATCTTTGCCAAGTTTCAGACAATTTAAATTAGCAGCATAAGGCTTACCTTGTATTCCATTTATTTGGATGAATATGTCCTGTATGATTGTTAGGTCTACCTATGTGGCCATATCAGATCCATTCTTGTACTCAGTATCAAATATTTTCTTCTCAATCAAACCTAAATACTTTACTACATTTAAAAAATGCCTTCTCACACAATCAAAATAAATTATTTCTACAAATGGCATTATATAAATGGATACAATGGAGAAATTAGAGGTGAACAATTTAAGAATTGCTGTAGCTTTCATTTACTATCTCTACTCACATCAAATCAAGAGTTGGAATTCTAATAAATTCTTCTTAGGTAAAACATTGCTAAAATATAAGTTCACTCACCATTCCGACTCTCTTCATCAATAGCAACTATGGTAGCTGGTGGGCCTCCCCTAGCTAGTTTGCAATCTAAAGAGAGAAAATAATCAAAGGTAAGAATTTATAATTACATGCGGTACACACCATGGGCATCAATCTTTTGAGATGTATATTGACATTTACAAAGAAAAATCCTACAATCAAATTAATATGTGAAATTTTAAATAATTAAAAATATTTAAGAAATCCCTGCCATGTCAAAACACAGTGACTTTGTACATCAAAAAACTATTAAAATATGACTGAGAAAACACCAGCAGAGATCACTGGAGAGGAGAAGTCCTTCAAGACAGAGATAATAGGATGATAATTTAACCCAAAGAAATAACATAAAGGAATGATTAACAAGGATAAATTGTAATTAAAGGCTCACAACAGAAATAAACATAATTGGACTTTAATTGTGATAAAAGGATCTAATTAAAGAGAGTGAATAGAATTTTAATAATGTTCTAAAAAGAATAAAACAAAGACAGACAAGCAATGCTCATGAGGTTGCTTGAGATTTTTATATTTATCATCTTACCCTCATATTGCCAGTCTGGAGTCAAAAGTATAGTCATCAATGGAAGCAGATCAGAAAAATGGAAGAAAAAAGGAAGGAAGAATATATGTATATATTTAGTGAGAGATTTGAAGATATTCAAAGCATTATATAATAGCAGAAATTACCTAATAATTTGTGGAAATGAAATATATAAAATCTTTCAGATTTTCTAATTCTAATATAGTATTACACAATAACTTAATATACATCATTAACATTTTAGAAACAATTACAGATATACTTGAAAATAATGAAAGATACATTCTATGTATATTTAACCTTTCATATGAAAAGATAAAAAACAAATTATTTACAAATAGCATATCCTTATACTGAAAAAATTATTCAGAATAGAGCCTGTCAGTGAATGGTGATTACTAATTCATTGCTCGAAACATTACTAATATCCTGCTGAGTGTCACACAATAACAGACATAGAAATAGTATCATGAGCTATAATTAGAATGAGAAGATTGTGCTTGAAAGATGCCAAATATATTTCAGAGACATAAAAGCATTCTCCTAGGAGGTAAAACAGGTTTGCTTTTTTTTTTTTTTCCGCATCAGATTGATGTGTATTAAGGAGGGAGCAGGAGGAAAAGAGTGGGGTCCCCTTGCCCAAGTTCTCTTTAACATAGCACAAAATCCCCAAGTCGCCACCGTTCAGGTAAAGGTGGATGATTGTGAGGCCCTGGTTCCAGCAGCAAGCCAAAGAAAAGCTGGAGGATGTGTGAGCCTCCTCATCACAGAGACCCAGGGACCCAGACCGCTTCTCCAACTCTGACTCTGGCAGGCTCGCCTGTCAATGTGCTCCTGGCCTCGGTTCTGCCTCTTCACCACAAACACCCTCTGCCCTGACACACTCACCAGCAGTTTGGGTTCTCCAAAGACCACAGACAAGTGCTTGAAGGCGTATGTCATATACATGGTCATATAGATTCATATATATAGTCATATAGATAGCCATATATGTATATATATATGAAGAGAAAATTAACTTTACATTAAGTCATCCAAATATATGTGTTATTTGGAAGATGATTTCAAGTTCTATTTATTAAACTGTTGCAATTTTAATGAAAATGTGCATGAATAGGAAAGCCTTTGGCAAGCACAATTGTATATTATAAGGTATAGTCTCTTTCATATGAAGCAAAGAAGCTGAGTCATCTACAGTTTTTCTCCTTTTATCTTTGTCAATATTCTAGGAGTTCCAAGTCATAATATTTCCAGATTTGTAATAATTTATATTCATTACCCTCCTTCCCTCTCCTTCCTACACAGCTTGGCATGGCTCAATTCTTCACTGATTGTCACCTCTATTTTACAGTGGTTTCCTCCCAGAAGATTTGCTCTTAATCTGGATTTATTTCATGAGATTTCCCTCCTACACCCAAATCAAAGTTAAAATAACACCATTCCTCTGCACAAACATCTATGTTCCTTTTGGAATATAAAAAGAAAACTTTCTTGAACAACCTGTGAAGTTTTTAATAACTACATCTGTTCCGTGTTTTGGATTGGTTTGACTGCATCCCTCAGAAGTTCACTTGTGAAAAGCCTGGTCCTCTGTGTGGTGATTTACGGAGGTGGTGGAAACTTTAAGAGGAGCCTCGTGGGAATTTGAGGGCACCAACCTCAAGGGGGATAATGTCCTTCTCTGAAGATTCTGGTTAGTTCCCATAACAGTAGACTGATAGGAAAGAGAAAGCCCAGTCCCTGAATATTCCTCTCTGCCTTCCTGTGTCACCACGTGACATCTGTCTCGCCAATACTGCCAATACTACCACTGTGATGGTATCCACAATGGAGCACTTACTAGAGATCAGACACACGGGGTTGCTCAATCTTGGGTTTTCAGCCTCCAAAACTATGTATTAAATAAACCTCTACAGATATTTTGTTGTTGAAGCAGATAATTTCTAATAAGGCCCAAACATTCTTTACTTAGAATTAAGCATCCTGCCCTTCACTTACAATAAGCAACTTACTCTTGTTGGAACCGACCATATATTTTTAGGGAAGTTTTATTATATAGAATCATTTTTGGATTTATTTCTGCCTGACAAGTTTCTTTTTCTCTTGGTAAAATTAGATATTTTACCTATTTCTTAACAACTCTACCGTATCTCTGAGTCAGAATTTATCTGTTACTCCCATGTTGTAATAATATATAACATAATATCAGTATTAAAACAAATATCACATATTTGTTATTTTTCCTTCCTTTATATACATCAAACATAACCCTTCATTTAATAAAATTTGTAGATTAATTGCTATCTACTATTATATAAATTATTTCTGTGTACTCTGTGATAATAAAGAAATGTAACAGTTCCTTTCTTTAAGTATCTTGGGTAAAAAGGGTGAAAAATGGAAGAACAAAGACACATAACCATCCATACATGTATATTACAATACTGTATATTAAAATCAATTATTTAATAAATTTACTAATGAAAAATGACTAAAAGATGAGACATCATACACATGGAAAGTGAGTATGAGATGTAGAGGCAATTTGTAGAGGCAATAATGTAGAGGCATTTTGTGAAGAATAGAATAAAGGAAACCTGATTGCTTCTTTGAGAATCACATTCTTGGATTACCAACTATTTCTTGTATTTCACGGAAAAGAACAGTTATTTTCTAAGACCATTCTTTCATATATACATAGAAACTGCCTTAGTTAAGATCATCATAGCTATAGAGACTTAATAAAAAGTGTGCATTTTAGAAGGAATGATAGATTTTTTAAACAACAACGTTTTACTTAAGCAAGAGGGAAGTAAAGGGAAGAAGGAGGAAATTGAATAAAAAACATTTTAAAACCATTTACAGGCCAGTTGCTATCAAATTTAAAGACAGACTTTCTCATACAGCTAAGCCACATTATGCTCTTCATATCCTAACCCAGCCTAACTCCCCTATTATTTACATTCTCATGGTTTCTTCTCTAGACATAGCAAACCAAATTTACATTTGCGGTGCCATTTGCTGAACTGCACTTTTTCCTTTTCTTCCCCTGGTAAACTTTATTCTTCTTTTAAAACTCTCTCAAAGCAGCACTTCTTGTCAAAAATCTTCCATGATGTCATTCTGGATTAATTGCCTCTAATGTATATTCCTTCAGGATACACTGAATTCCACTGGATTAATTACTCATTTGGAAAATATTAATTAAGTTTCTCACAAGGGCATGTTCAGTTCAAGTTTGTGTCATACTCATCTGGCTAACCTCAGAATCTGAGTTAGTGCTGAAAGATTATTAATTTTCTGAACTGTGGTCTGACCAGCTGCAACCTCCCATTGAACACCCATTCCATGAGAACTACAAAGTAGTTTCAGTCTTCATTGTCCCTTTACTGGAAGAAATACCCCAGATATAAAGGCTCACTTAACATTTCTTCCCAGTCAGACTCATCTAGATGACTCCCGCTAAGCTTTTTCTTCTAGCAGATTCCAAATCCCACCAATAAGGTCCTTTCATGTTCAATAGACATTTAAAAAAATTTTATTCAATTAAATTTATTGGTATATTTTAGGTATAAATTATGATCATGTTCATCATTGGGTATTTGTACCTGTACATGAAGTATCTTGATTTTTTTTTCCCCAATCCCCTTCCATCCCTTCCATCCCCCACACCCCCATTTACAAAAACTTTATTTTCATTTTTTCTTTTCTCATATTTTTTCCTTTCCTTCTTTTCTTTCCCCCACTGCCCTCCCTACTTCGCCTTCCCTTTTGAACTTTTTCTTCCTATTTTACTTCTGAATCTCTCCAAATATACATATTTTTTACACTTTTAGATTCACACCACCAATGAAGAAAAAATTAAACACATAAAAATAAACTATTAAAAATATTATTCCTAACAAGAAATGTGTTTGTTTTGAAGCGATACGTTCATGGAAATATAATTAATTATTATTAAAATGGACATACTATTTTTAATACCAAGTATATTCAGAATGGTCTGAAAAGTAATTTTTATGGAATATCTAAAGTTGTAATATGTATGTAAAATATCTTATTTGAAATAAAAGTGAAGAATGGTAAGAAATTGGGGGCTTGTATGCCTGTCCTCCACAGTCTGAATAATCTGCTTGCCATGGGAATGACAATTTAGATGCTGATAGCAGTACGTAGGCAGTGGAGTACTGTAATCTCTTTAATTTCACTCTCGACTGTCCTGGTCAAATCACAACTTATTTTTCATATCTAAAAGGCCCCTACCCATTTCTGATGTCTAATCTGTGGACCCGTTCGGTATATGAATATCCAAACCTGAATGTTCAGTGTGGCTTGTCTCTGTCTTGTTCAGGTGTCTGCAGATTTGCACATATACACACACTGAATCAGGTAACTAATTCAAAGCTATTTGGCCTTTACTGACAGCAACATTATTTTTTCTTTGAATTTCATGCTACACAACCATTTTATTTTCAATTTGTTTCATAAGCTGCAAACAGAGTGACTGTTTTCATTTTTCCAATTGATCTTTGCTATTATATTCATTTCCAGGGAAAATACACGCAGGAGTTAAATCTTAAGGTGAGTATTTTTGTTTTACATTTTGATGATCTCACCTACAATAAAAGAAGGTTTGATCTTGAAGTTTATAAGATCAGTGGAACAATACTCTTAAGTTGTGCCATCTAAAACTAGTCAACAGAAACATGGAGTTGGATCATGACTAACAGGAAGCAAAAGGAACTGAGTAAACTAACAAAGCACATAAGTCATTTCAATTTTAGGATGGGATATGCTATCTATGATTACTTTTTTCATATTAACATTACAGATTTCAGAATTTTCCATAGAGAGAGTAGACTATTTAGTATGCCTTGGTGGCATCATGGGTGGATTCTATAATTTGATTAAAACTTTCCAGCAGTATGGTCCAGGAATATCCACTGAGGTCACTGCTTTCATCAGAACAATTTATTGCAGCATATGTACTTTGGCATGTATTTAAAATTTTTATA